AAGTCGTTAAGAACTCACCGGAAAACAAGGTGCCGGCAGTGGTTGGTTTTGCGTTTGCAGTTGAGAAAGACAAGGGAGAGATAGAGATAGAGAAAGTAACAGGCGAGCTCAAGGCTCTGCCTTTCATCTGCAGCCGCACACATGGGTGGTGATGACAGGTTTGAAGATGTAGCAGTCCCGCCAGAGTGGTGAGGTAATTGCACCTTCTCGGTGCTTACAGGGAGAAAAGAAAGTTAAAGATGTTAGGGTTCGAGAGAGAAGGAAGCGGGGTGAGGTGAGGATTTGGGTGTTGATGCTCACTGAAGATGGCGAGTAATGGTCGGGTTTGCAAGTTTTTCTACACTTGCAGATAGAGGGAGACAAGAAAAAGCTAAGAGAGTTGAGGGAGACAAGAAAGAGCTGAGAGAGTTGAGGGAGAGACGAAGAGAAGTGAGGTGGCAACCAACGAGTGGATAATTGATAAAAAAAAAGAAAAAAAGAGGGATTTATATAGATTGGAAGACACTAGAGAGAGGGAATGAGTGGGGTGTGGGCCCCATGTGACACATAGTTCAAAGTCACCAATGAAAATACAGAAATATCTCCCGTAACACGAATTTACCAAAACGCCCATTACACTATTTAGTTTGTAAAATCTTTGTCGTAACTCCAAATTCAATTCTGCTTGTACCTATGCGTTTGTACTGTCGAGTACTTTGAGAATATGATAAAATAACAACTCGTATGCGTCAAGAAAAGGTGGTCAACGGAAGTCAATAATCTCGCCTCTAAGGCATTTTCGTCAAATCATTCTTTTAAAATTTATAAAATCGTAAAATTAGGGACGGGTTGTCACAAAAATGATTAACAGTTGAAAAACTTATTGATGGTGGAAACACTTATGGACTACTTCAATCAATTTTAAATCTCAGAGACTAATGTGAGAAGTTATGTCACTCTAAGTGACCAGTTTGGCAAAAGCCTTAAATAAATAAATATAAGAGAAAATAAGCGTATGATTATCATAAATGTAACATTCACACGAAAAATAAATGAACTTATAATGAGAAACTTTTGTAACCTATTTTATTGAAGGAAGAGAGGGTGCAGCAAAGGAAAGAAGATAGGCAATCCAATCTACTTTTCCCCTCCCCAAAACACTACAGCCCACTCGAGCAATTGGGCTCAAGGCTAGCCCGATTGAAAAGTTAGGCAATAATTGCCTAGCCCAGCACCTTGCCTATGTGATGCAAGGCTGATGTAAGCCATAATTTGAATTATTAAAAAATTATAAAAAAAACTAATTAAAGATAAAAATATATATATATATATTTTTCAATAATTACCTAACCACGTTCTTCCACTTTACACTACATTTCAAGATTTTCAAATATTTTCAACCAATCTTTTATTATTATCCAAAATTAAATAAAGTTATCTTTTATTATTTTATAAAATAAAAAAATACTAATATTTCAATACAATTTATTTGGACTATTCAGTTTCGAGGTGTAAATGTACTTGAACAATTATTGTTTATTTAAAGAATTGAGTTGCCTATTGCCCATGAAAACCTTCCTACACCGGAAGTGCTCTTGTAATAAACTAAATAGGATTCATTGCATTGCAAGTAATATAATTATAAAGAAATTAAATTCCAGTATTTAAATACAATTTACTAATAAATAAATAAAATAAAAAACTGAAAACACAGAGGAAAATAGGAATGAGAAACGAATGGGGGAAGCAATGGGCCCAAGCGAGAGGTAGGTAGTAGTCCCCCACTTTTATAAAATCAGTCGCAGTCGCAGTCTGTCGCAGGCCTTGAAAATCCACAATTAGCCAACTTTGGTGTCCTCGACTCTCGACTCTCACACAGAAGCACGCCAATTACTTCCCAGTACATTATAAATCCCAACCATTATTCCCTTCTTCTTCCCATCAACCTCAATCCTCCTCGCATCCGGTAAATCTCACCAAATGCCACCCCCTACAGGGTCAAAAATCAGCGTCATCAAGCCAAACACATTCTCTCTCTAAAACATTTATAATTGCCATAAAAGTATAAGCACAAAGCTCTACCTAATTGCTTGCCCAGAGGGATCTCTTGCATTTCACTCTCTCCTCTCATCAAACCAAAGGTACGTTCAAGGCTATTCAATTCCTTCTGTCCCCAACAAAAAAAGATGAGATTTTTCGGCTGTTTTTGCAATTACACAGCTGCCCAACACTTACTCAATTTGCCATTTTGTATTTCATCATGTTTCTGTGATGTTTTAGGAGATCTGTCACTCCCGAATGATGATCCAATAATTGTAGCTACACCCCCTTTCTCCATTTCTCCGAATGGATCTTTAATGATTTTACCTGATTGTGTTAGAAATTATTATTTTTTGGTAAAATATTAGTGTTGGAAATTAGTGTGATCGCTTTAACCAAGAGGGAGTTGACCATGCGGTTAAATATTTGGTGAACTTTACATTGAACTTGAAGACCATGTAATTTTCCCATATTTTCGGAGAAGAAGGAAACCCAAATGGTTTTATTTCATGCTTTTGATTTTTTAAGTTTTTCAGTTTTAACTCAGAGTAATTGGTGAATTTTTTTTCTTATTTTAATACATTGTTCTGGATTCACTTGTTGTATAATTGTATTTGAAAAAGGATTTTTTGTTATATTATTTTTGAACTTTTTAATTATTTACTGTAGGGTGAAAAGTGAGGTCAATTGGTGAGCAACATGTATCTTTTGAGAAGACAATCTCAAAAACCAACCCCTGAGGATGATTCTGCACAAAAAGATGCCAAGGTAACGAATCCAATTACGTTTCTGGTTTGTAGTAATATCAAAAGTGTACAACTTGCAATCCAAAGGGGTTTTGTATCTCAAGTAAATCGATCTGCCTCTCCGGCGTACACATGATCATAATTGTTAAGTTAGCTAGAAAAATTAAACCTTTCCCTCCAATCTTTATTGAAAAAACATAGCAGTGTGCGCTATAGAAATCTGATGTTGAATGACACAAATGTACAATCAGGTCAAAGAACTCAGGGCTGCACTTGGCCCCCTATCTGGACGTAATTTGAAGTACTGCACTGATGCATGCCTTCGGAGATATTTGGAAGCTCGGAGCTGGAACCTTGATAAGGCGAAGAAAATGCTTGAAGAGACACTGAGGTGGAGGGCAACTTATAAGCCGGAAGAAACCCGTTGGGTAAGTTAAATGAACTTTTATGACATTCACAAACTAGAAATCGATCATTTGTAGGACTGTTTGTTTCTCTTCATATGTTGGTAATTCTGCTTGAACATATTTGTAGGACTCTGAGCTTGTGTATTTTGTTTTCATCAAATATATAGCACAATAAAAACTTAATATGGAGTCGGATGGTGTTCTCTAACCACATTGCGTATGAATTTGTTCATTTAATTCCCTTACCTATTCTGCAACTTACTTCTGTGCATTGCACATAGGTTATCGCCCGTCATACTTATTGATGATAAATTCTAGTTTACTATGAAAAATTTCAATTCACTTTTTGGGTTTGATTTAAGTTCGTACTTACCATCTAAACATGCCATTGTTTAGCATGAAATAGCGCATGAAGGTGAGACTGGCAAAGTATCTAGAGCTACTTTCCATGATCGACTTGGGAGAAGCGTGCTTATAATGAGGCCAGCAAAGCAGGTCTGTAGTAGGCTATCCTCCCCCACCCTCCAAAACATGGTTACACTTTCAGTAAGCCTATAGTGAATAGATTTAACTCGTTGCCTTTCTTTTTTCGTTTTTTGTTTGTTCTGTCAGAACACAAACTCGCCCGAAGATAATATCCGCCATTTAGTCTATCTTATAGAAAATGGTATCCTCAACCTTCCTGAAGGTCAAGAACAAATGTCGTGGTTGGTTGACTTCACTGGATTCTCAATCAACACCAATGTCACCGTCAAGACAGCCCGGGATATTATTAACATTCTACAGAACCATTACCCCGAGAGGCTTGCGGTTGCATTCCTGTATAACCCGCCAAGAATTTTTCAGGCATTCTGGAAGGTACGAACTTAATTTGAAGTATCAATATTTCAAATTTTTCTTTCAGAATATAAACGTTTAGTTAATAGAACACTGGAAGGCAACTTAGTGAGATTTCGTTGGGATTACTGTCAGGGCCGTGACTTAGTGAGATCTCATTAAAGTTTGAGTTCACTTATATTTAGCGCTACAATATTTGTCGCTTAACAGCTATATCTGTCATTTGATGAACTTCCTGCTGCCTTTCATTTGTGTAGGCTGTCAAGTACTTCCTGGATCCCAAGACCTTTCAGAAGGTGAAGTTTGTATACCCTAAAGGTAAAGAAAGTGTGGAGCTCATGAAGACATTCTTTGATGTTGAAAATCTTCCGAGCGAGCTTGGGGGACAAGCCACCCTCAAGTATGACCATGAGGAGTTTTCACGAATGATGGCGGAGGATGATGTGAAAACTGCCAAGTTCTGGGGATTTGACGAGAAGCCTTGCCATATAACAAATGGGCATTCTGGAGCAGAGGTGGCACCGGAGCCTCTCCCCGTCGCACCTGCGGCTAGCTGATTAACCCTGCCCGGTCCAGCGACGTACAGTAAGAATTTAAAGAGATACAGTTGAGTACAAGGCTACAAGCTGAACCTACTTATATTTGTCTTTGTTTTATATTCTGAATGAGGACTGGGAGGATTCGTGGTTCAGTTCCTCTCTGCGGGTTATTAAGCATTTGAACTACTGTGCTTAACTGCTAATTACGAAGGAAATCGTAACCTGTGTGTTGTTTTCCCGACATTCAATAGTTTTTAATGGACTTCTTTAATATTTTCACTTGATTTAACAACTCCCCTTACATCCCAATTGCTGCAATATTTCACATCCATCACAAGGCAAACTTCACTTGTCGATAACATACCAGTGAATTTCAGCTTGTAGCCTTGTACGCAATTGTATAGAGACGAACATGCTGAGTAATATTACTGTACGTCGATCACAAGCTTGTACCCGTGTTAAATCAAGTAATATTACGAACAAGCTTTGCAGTTGAATTTCATGTAGACATAACAAGGCCACTCACTGCAAAGCAACTCCTTTATATAGAGACGAACATGCTGAGTAATATTACAACAAAACAAGAAGTACTTATAGCATATGCATTACTGAGCTTCCTTTTGTACAGTGGGTTTTGAGCTGTGAAGTTTACTTGGTCAGAGTTCATTAGAATACAGGCACTCGTCCACAAGTTGGCGAAGGTTGGGATTCTCCAGTGCAGCAGCGATTCTTTCTTTATCGTTCAACTGCTTGTTAACTAGAAAAATGGAAAGAAACAAATTTCAAATCTGAGTCTTGAATATTTTTTCACAAGAAAGATGTCAAAATGCAATGAAGAAAAGTTACTCCTCGCACACTGGAAATTCACAAACTATGTTTGATGCGTTCTTGATACTTGACATGTTATCAGTGGAAGCCAAGATATGTGTCATCGATGGATCATGTGTATCTAAGCAAAAACGTCTTGAGGCACCAAAAACCGGTTTGGTAAGTGGTAACATTTGTCAAAACTACTTAAAAGTATATAGGATTTATTTTCCCTGCTTTCATAAAACATATAACCCAATCATTTCTGTTCTTGCCTAAAGATATTAAGTGAAATGAGTGGTCCAACAATTCCCTACGCACAATACAAAGTTACAAATATGCCACGTAACTAGCCAGGACAGGAAGCCAAGTTACTTACAACAGCCCTTTTCTGAAGATGATATTGTGACAAGATTTCTTAAGTCATTTTTTGATGCTAAACAGGGGAAAAGAGATTACCTGATTCTTCATTTGCATGAGATCCTGGAGATACTTTAATGTCAACCTGTTTTAATGCATCATCAAACGTATGGTTAAGACAATAGCTAAACAATTACAATGCAAAGCAAATCAATGATATATCTAACATCTCTGACTAAAGAAAAGCTAGATATCTAACATCCGAAAACATAAACGCCAGAACAAGTCTATTTGTATGTTATTTCTCATTATCGTTTCAAACTTATTTCTCAAAATAGACCAATTACGAAAATAAAACCCGGCTTTGGCACTGGTTCTGGATTAAATTGGTTGTCAATTAAGATAAAACTTGGGACACTTTTAACACGCCGAATATAGTTTAGTGACTCCAAATGGGACAACTAAGTTGGCAGTCACAGGCTAATTTGTACTGATCCCTAGTATTGATTTCTCCAACCCCTATCAGAAAATGGAGTGAACACGTAGCGTGTGGTGCAAGGGGACGACATTTTCTAATTGCATTAGGTGCCAAACAACAGATGATCGTAACCGTCATATTAATGTAACAAGTACACATCAAGTATCACATTAATCAACTAGCAAATAATTGAGTGAGAACTATCCAAGAAAAATAGAGAATGATGTGTCTCATCTAGCACCATGAGAGTTTGTACTAAACAGCAACAAATTTTGGTCCCCATTGCAACTACCAAAATTGATCGAGTCATAACTAAAGACTAAGGGATTTTCTAGTACACTCCAAAGGCACGATAGAATTTTCGCATAACTAAATCAGAAGGCATTGGATAAATTAAGGGTGGATGTATTCAATTGGGATTTTGAGAGATTTTAATTCTTTTTACAAATCCAAGTGTATTGAATCAGGATTTTATTCTACGTCAAAGTGTATTCAATCAGGATTTTAAAGGAGTTTATAACATTCTAGGAGTATTCAATTAGAAATTGATTTTGAAGGATTTTTAAATGTTGGGGAATTCAAGGGAATTCGAGAGATTTTATAGTGTATTTTAAGCATTCTCAAATCTCACCGAGAATTTGAGCGAATTAACTCAAAATTTTACATCGAATCTCTAAAAATCAATCCAACTCCATCAAAATTTGGTGTACTTAGCTTTTAACGAATTCATTAAAATCCGTCAAAACCTAAATTGAAAACCCGGCTAATTGGTTGAAAGCTAAGTACACCAAAATCTCTTACATAGCAAGCAAACTCACCTTGTAATGAGGAGGGAAGCAGTGTTTTAGTTTAACTCTCAGGCACAGACCTATCACTGTTGCCATACTGCAATGCTGAATTGTCGGCGTAAAAGTTATCCTTCAAGCAAAATTTAAAAATAAAAATAAAAAATTCCAAACTTTGGTGATTTCTCTAAAACCCCAGAATCCACATCATAAGAACAAAAGAAAATTGAAGCTGAAAACTGAGAAATGATAATACTCACAGAATACGACCGAGCTTGTCATCCACTGTGATCGACTCCTCTGAAAGCACACTGAGCTGCTCTAACGAATAGGGGTGCTCCGGATCTCTAATATCCCTCACGAAATTTACAATTTCCAGTCAAGGATCGCAAAAGGTTTGACCAAGCTTTTACAAAATTAAATCAGAAAATAAAAATAAATAAATAAATAAAGGAATTGGAAAGGATATCATAGATATCGAGAGGATCGACAGCGTCGTCGGCGTGGAGATCTTCGGTGCGAGCAACCCTTTCCTTCTTAGCGTGGACCACGGGGTTCGCATTGATCAGACCCAACGTCATCTTCTTCTTCTTCTTCCTCCTCTTTACAGTTTGCGGTCCAAGTTTTTTAATTTCTATGCTTCACAGCTTTACCTGGTCAAGAGCTCAAGTTGCCGAGATTTTTTTATTTATCTTTGTATTATTACTCGAGACCTCATGTTTTTAAAGAGAAAGTTTTAGACTTAGAATAATTTAGTCTTTTGAATTGCAAGTTTGGTTAGTTTTACAAGAACTAGAAAAAATAAGCCATATTTAAATGGAAAACTAACCAAAACCTCCAAAAATCTTTCCTTTTAATCATCAGGACAATTTTTTTTTTTTATAATACCCAAACTGGACATAAGAAATGTGACAAAGGAGGGCTCCAGAGAGGCAAAACATGCAGCAACCCTTGAAAATCTTTACACAACAATTGAATGCAAAATGATAAAGTAAGGGCACGGATAACCATGCAGGAGGATTCACATGGGTTCACATGGCCTTTATCAAAGCAAAAGAAAGAAAATACAAGATCCAGCCAGAATCAGAAACAATGTCTACAAATTCAGAAAAAATGCCAAAAAGGGAAGATAAGGCACACCATTCAATTGTAAAGAATTTTTTATTTTAGTATCCTCATTCAGTGTATGTAAAGAGGAATTCTATTCATTGTAAAAACCACCTTTCAATCTCTCAATATCTCAACACCTGAACATCATCTTCTCACACCCTACTCTCACCATATACTCACATCATCTTCACTTGTAGCCTTCATTGCATCCTTGTAAACACTTTCTTGTAAACAACTATCTTTGTAAACGTTTTATATATCAATAAAAGTTAAAGTGTACATATTTAAGCAATCTCCAAGTCTTAAGTAAATTTTCTTTTATTTCTTTAGTGTGTTTGTTTAATTAGACTTCTAATCCCAAACAGGGAAACATTATTGTAGTTATATTATTAACCTGCTAAACTGACGATCATACTTTGTTCGAGCACTCTGTTATAGTTGAATGCTTGTCGTACAAATAACTAGACATTAACCAGAGTACCTCTGAGTTCAACCGTTAAGGCCTTATACTTGCATTGTGAGTGGCCGTCATGCTAAAACATGTCGAGTTCCATATGCAAGGTTTTGTGTCTAGTTGTTAGAATGGTCATCCGACTATTTAACCAGGCATTGTTGTGGTAATCTGGTATCAGAGCCAACTTTAGCATTTTAATAGTATAATTATAACAGTAAAGTATTTTAAGGATGGAAGTCATTGATACAACTGATATCACACTTGTTTATTTTTTATGAACAACATATATTATTATCCTTGTAAACCTTGTCAACCACAGCCACTAGGTATTTATTGTCCCAGATACCCAACTATAAGTAGCATAAAGAGAAGATTAACATATATATCCAAAAGAATTAGTAGGACTTTGAAGAAGCAGAAGTTTTATCTTAGTTATCTTGAACATCCTTTATTTATTAGTAAATATAATAATACAGAAGTGCAGCATACAGTTTTCGAAGCAAAAAGAGCAACAGATCAAGTTTTAGAGACCTTGAGAGAAGAAATAAAGTTTCTAAGAAATCAGTTAGCCGTAACTCTAGAGAAAAGTAGACTGTAGTTTATGATAGATTACCTTAATTTAGAAATTAGTGAACCTCAAAAAATAAAAATAACCTTAGACCAAAATAGTTTAGTTTGTTATTTTCTATTGAGAAATGTAGACTTTAGTTTATGATAGATTACCTTAATTTAGAAATTAGTGAACCTCAAAAAAGAAAAATAACCTTAAACCAAAATAGTTTAGTTTGTTATTTTCCATCAGAAAGCATAATCATGTTTTGCATAGTGAAGAAAATCCACAAAACAATAGTATTGTAGATCTTATTATTAGTCAAGCAAAAAATATATAATTAGAAAATAATAAATATAATCATTTGTTAAACCAGTTGTTAAAGCATTTTCAAAAAAATTCCATAAAAACAATTAGACAAAATTTAGACTATATTACATCTCAATTAGAATATAATAATAAAAATATTCAAAGGCTAGCAAAAGATAGATAAAAGAGTTTGTTGACCTCATAGATAGTAAGCTGAAGCTAGTAGAACTTAGATTATTAGAAGTAGTTGAGCAGTTAAAATTAGAAGTTCAAAAAATTCAATTAGTGCAAAAAGAGTTGAGTGAACAAGTAGATAAGTCACATAATAAAATAGATAAATTATTAATTTAATGACCAATTCTAGAACTAACAGAAAATATATCCAATCTTTGAAAGAAATTAGTAAGTTAGATAAAGAACCAGTAGGTTTAACAAATTTTTCAACATAAGTAGCCAGTAGTACTATTCTCATTAGGCAAAATAATTTAAATATTCAATTAGTTTTAAGTTTGGCTGAAAAAAATAGATCAAGTTAAAGAACAAATAGCAGAAATAAACTAAGTTTTACATAACGCATCTTCATCACTTCCACCATCTTTGCTAGATAAATTAGAAAATTTAACTTTAAGTGCAAATAGTAATATTAGAAGACCTAAACTAAATCCTTTTGATAATAGAAGATGGAACTCCTTAGGAAAAAGGGAAAAGAAGTAGTTAGAGCTGAATATATTTATCCAAATGAAGAAGAAGCACAAGAATTTATTCGAATAGGTTTTGAGAGAAACAGAAAAATAAATATAACTTGTACCAATTAGGTTTATTTGAAAACAAAAGTAGAATTGTAAGTAGCATCAATCAACTTGAAGTTAGCTATATCGATAAAGAAGTTACACTTAATTTAATTAGTAAGGAAGTAGTTATGCATTTGAGAAAATCACATTTCAGTCAAATTCATATAGGAACAATATTATTTGGAATAGCAGGAGTAACCAGAGTACAAGTAGGAACAAAAATATTAGATAAGATAATTATCAACAAGCAGCAATAGCAACAGCTGAAGTAGATTTAAGTTCAAACTTAGCAGTCATATGTTGTATTCCAAATTATGTTATGACAATTAATGAATTTAGTAATTATATTAAAGTAAGTATAAGAAAAAAAATTATAATATGAAAGGAGAGTATAAAAATTTGTGTATTAGCTTAATGTATATTGGTAAAGCGCCCGATAGTTATAATCATAAGTTTAATTTAGAATTTCAAAATTTAGTTCAAACATTTGATAGTAAACATGTAAATATGATAAAAATAAAACCCGTAAATAATAGTTTTTTTAGAAGGAATTCAGTGAACATTACCTAATTTACAAGTAGCAAGAAATAGGCAACCAGATAAAGTACAAATATATATATATATATATATATGAAACTAGTACATGTTAAGCAACAATTAGGTTTAGTAATTACAAACAACTTGAAAAAATAGAAGAGGATGATAGTGAGATCGAAAATGAGAGTATACATATGGCTTTTGATAATTTAGATATTAATTTAGTTGAGAAATTTTTTGATCATATTGTAGATAAGCTTATAGAAGATATTGATCATTTAGATGAAGAAGAGTACTTAGAAAAATACAAGACACATGATTTAAGACTACACATAATTTCAAATGAAGAGATGAAAATTTTGATTTTAGAAATAGGAGTATAATATATTTTAGGATAAAAAAATTATAATAATTTATTAGAATTAAAAGAAAAATGTAATCCAGCAGAAGAAAGTAGTACATCATGAGTAGAAAATCCAGGACACGCAAGTAGAACTGATTAACAATTTTTGAGACCAATAAATGAACAATATAATGAAAAAGCAAAAGTAGATTATATAGAAGAAAACATGATAAAACAACCTAGAAAAAATAGGATTCCATATTTGAGGAGGTTAGAACAAATTAATATAGCTGGTAATATATTAAATTTACATAATGTATATCCACAAGATTGGGAAAGAACGATTGAGAGATGAGAAAAATATTGCGTACATGCATCATTAATGTTAGATTTTTGTAATTCACAAAATATGTTAGATTATTTTGAACATACTTTAGATGGTTTACTTTTTTATTATTTCCAATCATGGAAAGTTCAAAATCCAGAACATCATCAGGCAGTCAAAACACATTTTAATATTGATGGTTTTGTTACTTTGATTAAACAAGAATTTTTAGATCATAATAGGTTAGATAGCCGAAGCGAACAAGAACAAATAAGAGCAATTAGAAATTTAGAACAATTACAAATTTGTGATTTACAGTATATAACTGAGTATACCACATATTTCTTTAAATATTTAGGAAGAACAGGTAGAATTAGTGATATTAATTTATTAGATATTTATATGACAAAAATAAAATGACCAATAGGTGAAAAGATTTGGAATGAATGGCAAAAGCTTCCAAAGAAAAATGATATTGCAATAGGATCTAGAATTCAACATGTATATGATATACTTAAATAAGAGTGTAGTCAAATAAAAGTTAAGAAACAAATTAGGAAGCAATTTTATATGAGTTGTAAAAATATAGATTTACCACAACAGTATGGTTGTCATAAGAAAAATAAGTATAAGAAAATATACAAAAAAAAATATAAGTTATACAAACGGTACAAACCACATAAGAATTTCAGCATAAGACCTTCAATAACATATAGGAAGAGAAAATATATTCCAAAATAATTTAGGAAAAGAAGTGGTAGACCTTGGATTAGAAAATATAAAGCACCAAAAGATAAGAGTAGTTGTAAATATTATTCATGTGAAGAAGCTGGACATATTAGACCTAAATGTCCAAAATTAGGAAAACAATCAAGAGAAAAAGTACATTTGATGGAGTTGTTTAAGTTAGAAGAAGATGAAGATATGCAGTAAATATATAACTTAGATGATTTAAGTGATAATGAGAATATTTATAGTATAGAAAGTATAAATATGATAGATTCGGACTCGAAAAATTCAAGTAGCACAAATAGTAATTTAGAAGAGTATATGCATGTATTCATAGAAGAACAACATGAAGAAGAATATAAATACATTAATTTAGGTTGGCCAGAAAAATGTCATAAGTGTAGTAAATTAGTTGCAAATAAGTACTATAATACATATTCAATATTATGTGAAAAATGTTATAGTAATGGGTTATTAGAAGTTAATTCAGCATAATCAAAAGAAAGTATTGAAATATAAGGAAATATTTTTCATAGTGTAGAAAAGTAAAAAAAATAGTTCTTTAATTACCATAAATTGCGAAATAGAATTAGCAAAAGAACATAAGATACAAACAACAGTTATGATAGATACATGGAGTACAAAGAGTATCATAAGAGTGTTAGTACCAGAAAAATATAGACAAAAATTAGCAAAACCAGTAAGACTAACACAATTTGATGAGAGACCAGTTTATTTAACACATTGTATTAATAATGAGTCTATTAAAGTAAAAAACAACAATTTAATTTACCATTAACATTTGTTTAACCAGTAGGATCATATCTATTTATTTTAATATTAAACTTTTT